GGAGAGGAGAGGAGAGGAGAGGAGAGGAGAGGAGAGGAGAGGAGAGGAGAGGAGAGGAGAGGAGAGGAGAGGAGAGGAGAGGAGAGGAGAGGAGAGGAGAGGAGAGGAGAGGAGAGGAGAGGAGAGGAGAGGAGAGGAGAGGAGAGGAGAGGAGAGGAGAGGAGAGGAGAGGAGAGGAGAGGAGAGGAGAGGAGAGGAGAGGAGAGGAGAGGAGAGGAGAGGAGAGGAGAGGAGAGGAGAGGAGAGGAGAGGAGAGGAGAGCAGCACAGCAGCTGACATAAAATCGAACCACCTCACAGGTGGGGAACAAACTCTGAAACTTGGGCTGCTTGTAGAGTTGCACTCACCACGCAAAAAGAAAGAATGGTCACTCTCACTGTGTCAACGCCACACTCACCGTCTACCACCCGCGCCCCACCCACGCACTCGTCTCTTTAGAGGTTTCTACCCGAAAGTTCTCTTGGCACCAATTCTTATGCAGCTTTGAGGTGGTGAAACACGGTGAAACAACCTGTCATCGGCTGTAAAAAGGTTGCGAAGTAAAGGCTCCGACATCCAACGTCCGACCTTTTGAACCTCCGACCTTCTGTTGGTCAGTTCTGGTCGCCTTCTGGCGAAGTACGATGGGATGGCGGAATCATCTGGTGAATGTTCTATCTTTGTGCGTCGAAGGCGTAGCCTGTGACTAGAGCAATGGTATTTCAATCAACAAAATTCTTTGTTGTACAATGACAAGTCTCCTCTTCTCGTGCTTTCTATGGTTTCCTCACCCGGTACACCAAGGACTCTTGGGGAGATTCCCTCTGGAAAGCATCCCGACCCAGCCTAGCGTTCCAAGCCTGTGCCAGGTGTCGTGCTCCTGCTCCCAAGCTTCACCAAAAAGATCCAGGAAACCATCCTTGGCGCCACGGTCGGTCAACACCACTGGTCCCAGTGGGACTGGGGTGGGTGCCAGGAGGGTTTAAAATACCTTCTGAGTCGGAGGCATTTGGCAATCTGCTAGGCTTGTTCTCAAATTTTTGCACGATGAATCACACACTCAGTTCGGCAGCGCGACGAAAATGGTGACACAAAGACACCACGCACGCATGAAACGAAGCGAACCATCCAATGGATAGGGCGCGATCGATGTCACCCCCGACGGTGACTGGATCCGGGGGTGTGCGAGGTCGGTGATAAGTCGGTACAGACTATCTGCACATCGGGGACTCGTCTCAAGCGGAGAACTTCACCCTTGTTTTCCTTGGGACGGAGACGGTCAATCCTTCATGAATCAAAGGGACGGTAAACACCACGAGCCCAAGTACTCCATTGGAGACGTTTCTTTCCAGAATAGAAAACATGTGGCTGATACCCAATGACAGTCCAAAGAGTGCGGTTTTACTTGGAGATCTTCTTTTGCGTTGCAGTCGTGGTTTCTCTATAGTTCCTCCCATATGTGCGTGGAAAGTGGAAAGCTAGCTGTTAACTAGAAGAAAGCCACTGTCCATGTCGAAGAAAGCTCGCGTCCACTGGGTCAGTTTGCCTCAACGAATCGAACCAACTGGACGAATTCTCCGGCCGCAGGGCGAAGCAGCATGAGACAATGCTTGACAACCACGAGGACAAGAAGCAGGAAGTGCAAAACAAGCGCTCTCAGAAGCAGGAGAAATCGCAGGGAAGCAACGCAACACAAGAGCAAAAAAGGCAAGAAAAGCAGGAGAAACCAGAAAGAAGCAATGGAAAGCAAGGAAAAGCAGGAAAAGTAGAGCAAACACAAAAAAGCAAGAATAGCAGGATAAATTCGAGAGAAGACATGAATAGCCAGAAACGCATCAACAAGCAACTTTTTTTAAAGTCCTAACTGCAACACACAAAAAAAATACAAAAATAGTTCATCACAGTCAAATACAATTTTGTTGTGTCCTCATTGCACCTGGAATCTGGTGCCAAAATACGAGCTGCTCGAAAACACTCCCACCCACAAGCATCCAGCAAAGTATAGCAAATTCAACATGGCAAAATCGAAATCCACCTGCACAAAAGGTGTTCCAGCGAACTTGCCTTCCCACTTGAGACAGCAAATGCTACCCCACACGTGTGTGGTTCAAGTGATACCTCATGACTCAGGATTCCCTGGGCTGACGCTCGACGAATCCAGACTAACCAAAAAGGCTCAAAGTCAAACACCAGCCTTTGTCATACTCATGTGCCCTGCGTTCCCCGCACCGAGGGTTCCAGCCAATTTTTGTTTGATCTGGGTGGGAGGTCAACCCTCATGGAGTAGGAGCGGGCAAGGTGTAGGAGACCCAAGTCTCAGCCAAGGTGGTAGCAGGAAGCAAGAATCTCAAAAAGTAGGGTGGACTATTGACATCTGTGTTTGATTTCATTGCAACACCATAAGCCACCCTGTTGGATTGCGTTCCGCATAGTCTTCACCACACCTCCTCCCTCCAACCAAGAGTGCGCCACTACCTCGCCCTTGCCGTCCACGGTGAAGAAACCCTCCGTTGGGAAACCAGCATCTAGGTATGAACTGCGCCAATGACACACAAAAAAAGGTGCAAAAAGCATGCAACAAACATCAACCGTTGCAGTTGCATAAAGTCACAATAGTCACAGGGGTCTGGCTCTGCCAATCCCAAATGTTCATGTTCATTTCAATCCATGTGAACCTGCTCGCTATCCTTAGACTCCGATTCAATCACAAGTTGGCCAGCAGTCGCAGACCGAGCACAAACCAATGCCCCAGTAGCTGTCCCGTGAGCTTTCCGGTCTACGCCGAGAGTCTCCGAGGTGATGGATGAAGCCTGAGTCATGAGTCAGTCGGAAGTCGACCAAGTGCCCCTCCGGGCCCATCCGGGCTCCGGTCTACCGAACCAACCCGCTACGACGACGCCGACCCGAGCGGCACCTGCACACAGTCTCTCGAATCACCTACCAACTGAGAGCCAACAGAGGTCAAGTGAACTTATAGGACCCGACAGAAGCACCTATAGGATAGCCTAGTTCGGGTTCTTCAACCTCTGCTGGAGGGTAGATCCCTGGAGGTGAGGAGGACCGGAACCCGGCCATGAAACGTCGACTGGATCCGATCCGAGCGATCCGAGGAAAAATCGATCGGATCCGACGACGGAGATCCGTGAGTTTCAGACATCGAGATCCGGAGATGACAGGTTTTAAGTGGAAGAAAAGAACGTATACCCAAACACTCCATGTATGGTATATTTACCTACATTGGGGTGGTTTGAGGGGTCAATGTAGGCATATATGACAGACATGGAGTGTCTGGGATACATGCTCGTAGAGTCGACTCCTAGCCAGTTATGTTAGGAGTACGAACACGAATGGAGGGTCCAATCCCAGACACAACGTTCATGGGACTGCCATATATGCATTGACCCCCAAAACCACCAGGTCGCGTCTGGGAATGTTCATCTGTGACCCCTTCTGGGTTGTTTGTCGGGTCCATGACGGTCCATCAAAATCTCATCTCCCATGTCAGGGGCTTCCGAACTCGTCCACGGCTTTCCTTCATGCAGCACGGCTGCAAGGGTAGAGCATTTCGGCTGAGAAGCTGGGCAATGAGGTCCTGGTGATCCCGTATACCGTCTTGGACTTACTGGGCAACTATGGGAACAGAAGCGTCTTCGTGATCTCCTTGAAGCAGTTCTAGATTTTAGGATCTAGCTGAGGATTCTAGACCGTACTAGGACGCTGGGTACCCACTAGTACCCACCAAATCCCTTACCCTGTACTTGGGAGCCTTTCTCTAGAAGCGGTCCCGAACCAACCCGCTGAAACCAAGCGGAAAAACCGTTCGTTCCAAGGAGCTTCGCACCTGTTGCGCGGCAGATCGTAGACCTCGTTGAATGGCCTCCAAGGGCTTTTCGCGCCAGTCCTTTGAGCCACTGAGACTTCCTGAACGGCGAGGTCGGAACCGCTGTTGGTCGGAACCGCCATCGGTCGGTCTGATGATAGAACATGAAGTCTGATTCCCTACCCGGCTGGATGATGGGGATATGATGGGATATGTCTTGGGTCTATCCCACCAGGGCCCAGTGGATGAGGATGGTTAGGTTGCAGGCCCTTCTCAAAAATAGTGAGGTTCTTGTTTACCGACTGTTATAGGTCATAGGACAGCCCAAGGGATATATTAGATGCCAAATGATTTTAGCTATGCAGCTATGCCACACACCCTATCGCGACCTCTGCTGCTCCGTATCCAAATAGAAACCATGACGCTGACAACACACTATGACAACATCAAACACAAGGACAAACAACAAGCGACAACAGACAAGAAGCAATGACGCATACAATTCATACAACCACAACGGCAACAAAAACAGCAAACAAGGAGCACTGACACAACACACAAGAACAACACAAAACATCACCACAACGCATCGTGCCACTGATCCGACACAGGGACAAAAACCACAACAAACGGCAAACAATGACAACACAAAACACATTAATGCTTGACAACACACACCAGGACAAACATGACAACCAACAATAAGCAACGACACCAGTGATGCCACACACACACGACCAGTCGATGCCCAACACACTGGACGATGCAATTCGATGTGTTTAAGAAGTGAAACACACACATGATATTGCAAACCATGGAAGCGACGTTAGACCTGCTTGTAAAGGAGGATCGTCTGAAGGAAGGATGAGCAATTGTCCAAAACACATCTCCACAAATGCAACAAAAGGAGGTCATGACGGGGTTGGCTTTGAATGCTATATGATCCTCCTGCCCCATTCGGACTTGCCTGCATAGCGTCATCCTCTGCATATGGAAAAAACACATCACGTTAATAGATCCCTACAAGTAATACCTAGTCTTTTACCTCCCTAAGTAGTGTTTTTGTATGACCAGGCCCAGTAAAATGAGATCATTGACCTATAGCGCATTTTGGGGGATAGCAATGCGTAATCGGCAGTGCGTCCTTCGTCGACGATCAGGACACCACCACACGATCAGCCCCCCGACAGGGCTCAGGTTCCAAGCGCTTGGCCGCTTGGCACTGCAGCGCGTTTCAATGTACGCCCCAAGTAGATCTTCTCAGTGGATATCCACTACCTATAGGCCTATAGGTCCCACCCCATATCCATTGAGTTCGGAGGGCCTCATCCCCCAAGCGAAGCTGACCGGAATAGACCGAACGACCGGCCGTTCGAGGTCCTCGTTCGACCAGCGTCCGGCCAAAGAAAGCGCTGAACGGCCGGTTTGGCCTCCTTCTCGACCTAAAAAAGCCTTATACCAGGGTCATCCTGTCTGGGTGTCCAGTCTAGACTACCTTACGTAAACAGGTCTCCAAACAGGGCACCCGGACAGGAAGTGCGGTCCGGTAAATAGACTTTAAACATCCAATTGGAAGAATCCCAAACAAGACCTCTCTGGGACTTGCAGAAAATCACCTACATCGCCTACATGGACCCCAGGTCCATGACCTCAACTAGCCGGTGAAGCACGCAAGCAAAATCCGGTGAAGCACGCGTTACTTGGATTTGCTGCTCCATCCGGAAGCCGGGGCTTCAACGAAAAACATCTTCCCCGAAAGCTTTGGGTATTCACCTCACCTGTCTTCCCAAGAAACAAAACTGAAACAAAAATAACATGTCTCTCTTGCTTTATTTTCTTACGTTGAAACATGAAACCAAACAATAAAATAGTCGAAAACATGGTCACATTGGTTGTTGCGTTTCTTATTGTTTTGTGATTTCCCATGAAGTAAAACAAATGACCCAGTGTCTTCTGCTGCAGTGTCGGACTGTTGGACCGGATCCGCTAGATGGACGACCGGACGGAGGTTTGGAGGTCGGCCGAAGAGGAATAGGACTAAACCGACAGAGGTCAATTCACCCGGGCGTATAGTAAAATCAGTCGTCAGATCCTGTACCCGTTTGGCCTCCAGATTCCAACTTGCCAACCTACTCTGCCAATATATCAAGCCAAGCATGCTCCACAACACACTTAGCTGCTTGGACGAGTCTATAGCTGCTTGGTACCGTGCGCATCCGTTGTGCCTTCTTGACGAGCCAAGCCTCTGGCTTCCGGTGTAAAGGCCACGTCTAAACAGAGTCGTGCCAGCGCCTGGATGGCCACCTGCGGGCGAACGAGCCCGCATAATAACCTGTGACCCCACCATTTTTGTGACATGGTCTGGATACTACAGCTTGTTTTGGTGACATGAGTCTAGGATTGTCTTTTGTTACATCATTGAATATTATTAAAAATAGAAACACCATCATATATTGGTATATTACGCAATATATAGGAAGACCCATTCCCGAGTCGACAGCCACATATCGTCGATCTGGATCCCTATACATCGACCCGTGGGGACAAACCACCCCTGGCCAGACAAGGCTCGGCCGGGATCGGTCGTCCCGATCACCGGAAAATCGGTGGTTCCGCCCCAGGAGGACCAAAACATCTATCGATTTGATCCATTGATGCCCAAACAGCTCTGTCTGATCGAGGTCATGCAATCAAAACGACGAACGGGGGAGGTCAAAGACCAGGTTTGGACCTGTGCCGGACTTGTTGAAACTATTAAACATGCATGTATAAATCATTGCTTGAGGGCCCCAATTCACTCTTTTTCGTACCATGACTTTCAGGGACCCCGGGTGCTGAGATGGGGAGTTTTGGTTATTGCATGGGCGCCACAACATAGTACACAATACATAGAGGCAGTGCTTCCAAGACTGAAGGGAAGACGAGACCTGGACCTAGACAGCTGTGATCCGGTTCCCCTTTAAACAGCGAGTCAGCTCGTTGAAGTCCAACACTATCTTTAAAATGGTCGACCTGGATTCCAGTGTAAAATCCTTGGTAACAAAATGGTGGTCTGGTAAAGACTATTAAATCAATGCTGCCCGGAATTCTAGGGAATAAATATGAAGGTGGAACCCGTGACCGTAAGAGATGACGGTTCCGACCTGTTTTAGGAGACGTGAGGTTCGCATGGCCTACCTACTAGCGATGGCCTCCACCCTAGTAGCGAGGGAAAACACACACACATTCAGCCAGAGACACCATGTTCAAAGAGCTGTGGTCTTCCTGAACTCCAACGCGCGGGCCAGCACGGCGACGTGACAACCACCTCTACAAATGCCAACGAGGCTCCAAAAAATGAGGGCACCACACCATTTGAGAACATACAGAAAATATACAGATCTGATACCCTAGGACTCCAACCATATCCTCAGAAGGTGGTTAGGCCCCCCTAAACCCACCCCAACCAGCTTCTAGGAGGCAGTTGGAGTGCTAGGGAATATACAGATCTGATACATATCTGATACATACAGATCTCTTCTAGTAATCATTCCCTACAGGTCTGTTTCATCTCATTCTACTAAACCTATCCATACAAAAAACACGCCGAAAAGGAAGCTCCAGGTTTAGACCTGGCTCCAGTCCTTCCTGGACGACTGACGTCCGGCCCTCTGGTCCCCTTCCAAATCGACGTCGGACCGGTCGACCGGTACGTCGGCCCTCGCGGCAGACATCGAAGACGCCATCCGGACTGGCAGTTTTGACATACGACCCATGAAACTACCGACATTGAAAGCATCCTAATGTGGGTAAATATGCTATAGCCATGGAGTGTTGGGGTTTTACATACCAGGGCCCCCTTGAGGCCCTACCGGGTGTCCAATCATGTATAGTAGCTCCTTAGTAGAGGGTTTTTCTAGGGGTGTCTGCATACATTTGGGGGTCGGTTGACTTGGGGTCCATCTACCCCAGCCTGTACCCTTCGACTGTGTTTGGGTCACCCACGGACTACCCTCCAGTACTTAGGAATCTCCAAACAGGACATTCATTAGATGGTCCAGGTAGTAAAAGGCAATTTTTCTGGATACTGTATCCTGGGATTTGCGGCTCCGTTCGGACGCGGGAACCAAAAACACCTAAACATCGTTCACTGAATCGTTCAGTCTGGGAGCTTCGTCCTATTATATAATGAAGCAACACCAGGTCACCCTAAGCGACCTCCAAAAATTCCCTGGATCCACGAAGTGCGATCGGCACTTCTTGGAGGAACAGCGCTGGAAGAATCTGGAATATTTTGCCAAACATGGAATCACGCGATGAACAGATCACCTTCTCAGGTTGTACGACTGGACAAGACGTTTTGGCACCTACAGTGTTGAACACATCACCGTACCTGAGAAGGCACGAAAACGGATCCCTAGGAATTGGGAAACAACATGTTTTTTCACCCGGCCCTCATCCCCTGAAATGGCTCCCAAGCTTGACCATCTTTGGAGAGAAGCACCTCCCAGTCTCCCGCTGAAAATCACCCGCGGTCGCTACCACGCGGAAATCACCCGCCACACAACACCCCTTCGGAACCTCCCACCGCGGTCTACTCTACTCGCGCTGCAGCCGCGCATCCAACGCTGCAGCGGCTCGATGCAACACCTCCAGCGGCGGCGCAGCCGGCGCAGCGGGCGTGGTGACCGCGTGGCCTGGGCACCAGCGAGGTGAGAGGAAGGTTTCTCAGGTGCTGAAAGAGCTCAGAGTTGGATGGATCCCAGGTACCTCCTGAGGAGGGTCGAACGGAGGTCTTGGGGGGTCAAAGGACATTGTCAGGATGGTCCTGGACCCTTAGGGGATATGATGGATTTATATCGATCTGATCTGATCGGACAGCACTGGGATTTGGATGTGCTGCTCGAACTGCTCCAACTGCTCAAGTGGCTGGTGCCAACCTTCATGGGAAGAAGCACGTGAGTCTTTGTGGGAGGCCAAAAGAGTCACGTCGCAGTATGGTGGAAAGAGTTATATTTAACTCCTTTCAACATCAGTTCTCGTCCATAGGGAGCAACTGAGCAACCTCCAAGTACAGTAGATCAGATCTGTAAACATGGGGCTCTCTCTCTCTCTCTCTCTTCACATCAGTAGAACCTGCTCCTCGGCTTTCTCCTGTGCGTTCATCCGACAAAGCATGCTTTGAACAGGTGGCTGAACTTGTGGATCTCCGAAAGGTCCATTTACATAGAGGAAGGAAGGCGTTGGGACTGATGCAACGCTGCGCCATCAATCAAGCTGGCAAGACGTCACACCTGTCCCAACATCTGATCATGTCATGCCATCATCACTGTCGTTCAAAGGCGGCCCAGGTTCGGCAAGAATCGCAAGCATGGTTTGGAAGATCCAAGGATCTCCCATCCACAAAAGCCCAGCAAGACACCAAGTTGTGGTATATCGGTATGTCCCATAACCAATAACAGTGCAGCACCGGGCTTCCAATCGGGAACCTGCCAAAAGCTGGAGAGGAACCTAATGGAACTAACATTCTCTATCTGAAAACCATCCTCATACACTCCATGGGACTGGAATAGATGCCAATCAATTGACTTTCCTGGCACCACCCCGATCGGCCGGAACTCTCGGCAGTCCGTCATGGCAGTCCCAGACTGGTCGCGTCTGCGACTCGGGTCGTTTGAAGCGAGGGAAGCGATGGAAGCGAGAGATGGGGTCAAACAAATGGGCACACTCTCAGGCTTTCCGAGGCCCCAGGAAGAAGAAGGGGAAGTAGACCAGTCTACCCAGCCAGGGGCGAGAGAAAGGGGGCTCCCTGGCTGAAAAGTACACACACACACACACTCCGAGGACCTTTGTCTTGTGTCTTTCCGAGTCCAAGAGCATTTTGGTGTAAGATGGTATGACATTTAGCTGACCGGAAATTCAGGCATGTCCTTTACTTCAGGTTCAGGTGGGGTGAACTTGAAGCTCCACCACGATCCCTATTCTGCTTGGTGGTGTCAACTCACTTGAACAAAATATGAGTCAGTAGCTTCAACATGGTTCTACCAACAGTTGAACATCCAAATATCTAAAGCTCCAGCACCAAGCTCAAGCTCGGCCAGCGCCAAGCTCAAGCCAAGGGGCCCGGCAAAGGCGGAAGCAGCCCAGCTTCAATCAGAAGCCCTTGCTCCCTGAGACGTCCCACGCCGTCCCCCATTGGACGCCGTCCAGTCTCCGCGGAGACTTCTCCCCGCGGGTCTCCGCGCGGATGGGGGGGCACGGAGACGCGCGGATGGCGGTGTCAGGATGTTGTTTGGGACGCCCCGTTGACGGGATACCCCCAAAAACAGATCCCTATGGATCCAAGTACCTTCTCAGAAGGCACCTGGACCCTCCTGGCACCCACCCCAGTCCGGGACCCGATCCCTAGGGCTCCAAGTACCTTCTAAGAAGATGTTTGGGGTGGGTTTAGAGGGTCCAAATACCTTCTGAGCAGGTACTTGGAG